ACACACACAAACAGAGACACACACAGACACACACAGAGACACACACACAGACACACACACAAAAACACAGGCTTGTAGCGACAAAAAAGTTTTCCCAGAACCAGTATAGGCCTATAACCACTTTCGCCTGCGCCACTCGTGTTTACACACAGACACAGGCACACAAGGACACAGTTAGACACACACAGATACACGGACACTGACACACACAACGACAAGAACACGCACAGACACACTCACAGAAACACGGTCACGGCCACACACGGACAGAGGCACACATGGACACACTGACGCAATCCGTGTCTGTGTTCGTATGTCTTTTTGTGCACCACACACGAACACAGACTCAGCCCGTGTCTGTGTGCGTATGTCTTTTTGTGTCTGTTACCGTGCCTGTGTCTGTCTGTGCACAGTGGCAGAGACTAACGCAAGCACATTCCCAGAACTGTTATAGGCCTTTAACCACTTTCGTTTGTGGCAGTCTAGTTCACACACAGACACACGCACACAAGGACATAGTTAGACGGAAACAGTTAGACACACACAGACAAACACAACCACAAACACAACCAAACACACACAGGCACAGGCGCATACAACCAGACACAAGAACACACAGATACACAGACACACACGCACACACACACACGCAAACACAAGTACACTCACACGCACAGACAGCCACACACACAAACACAGACACACAGACAAGCAAACAAACAGACACACATAAAGACAGAGGCCTGAAAGCGGTCCCAAAAGTGTTTAAGGCCTAAAAGAACCTTCGCATATTTTCCTGCCCGAGGTCGCCACACAGACACAGGCACAAACGTACACTCACAGGCACGCACACAAGAACACAGGCACACAAACATACGCAGACGTTCAGACATAGACACACACACACACAAACAGAGACACACACAGACACGCACAGAGACACACACACAGACACACACACAAAAACACAAGCTTGTAGCGACAAAAAAGTTTTCCCAGAACCAGTATAGGCCTATAACCACTTTCGCCTGCGCCACTCTTGTTTACACACAGACACAGGCACACAAGGACACAGTTAGACACACACAGATACACGGACATCGACACACACAACGACAAAGACACGCACAGACACACGCACAGAAACACGGTCACGGCCACACACGGACACACTGACACAATCCGTGTCTGTGTTCGTATGTCTTTTTGTGCACCGCACACGAACACAGACTCAGCCCATGTCTATGTGCGTTTGTCTTTTTGTGTCTGTTTCCGTGCCTGTGTCTGTCTGTGCACAGTGGCGCAGACTAATGCAAGCACATTCCCAGAACTGTTGTAGGCCTTTAACCACTTTCGTCTGTGCCAGTCGAGTTCACACACAGACACACGCACACAAGGACACAGTTAGACACACACTCACACACACACACACACACACACACACACACACGCACACACACACATGCAAACACTGGTACACGCACACACAGACACACACGCACACACACACACGCACACACGCACGCAAACACAGGTACACGCACACACAGACACACACACACACACGCACACAAGAACACAGGCACACACATACACTCACAGGCACGCCCAACGACACATACACAAAGGCACAGGCTTGAAGTTTCCCTAAGCAAACCGCAGGCCTTTAATCAGTGTTAGACACGCACACAAGAACACAGGCACAGAGACACACACACGAACACAAGAACAGACTTGTAATGTCAAAAAGTTTCCCCAGACGCACACAGACACACACAGACATAAAGACATAAAGACACAGGCTTGTATTGTCAATCAGTTTCCCCATACGCACATACAGACGCACACACAGACACACACACAGACACACACACAGACACACACACACACGAAGAGCGACACACACAGACACACGAATACTGACACGCACAGAGACACACGAACACTGAAACACACACAGATACACGAACAGTGACACGCACACAGACACTCACGGGCACAGAGACAAGCAGGGGTGTTAGGGCCCTGTAACCAGTCTTACCGTGCTTGACATTTATTTTGGATGCCTCTTTGCGTGCAGTCCATTCGTAACGATGAAGACTTCCCGAGGCGCGAGGGGTGCGAGCAAGGGAAGGAGTGCAAGAAGAACCGTCACAGTGTCTTCTCGGGGGCAGTCGGCGTGCTCCGAAGGGGTTGTGCAGCAAAGGTGGCCAGCGGAGAAGAACGCCGTTGAAGATGCAAGGCGAGAGGATGATTTTCCCCAAATGGGAGAAGAAGATGAGGACGAATATGTTTTAGAAGAAGGAGAGTTCGTGGAAGAAGAGGGAGAGGAAGGAGAGGGAGAGGAAGGAGAGGGAGAGGAAGAGGGAGAGGAAGGAGGAGGCGAAGGAGAAGAAGAAGAAGAAGAAGAAGAAGAAAAAGAAGAAGGAGACGAAGAACAAGAAGAAGAAGAAGAAGAAGAAGAAGAAGAAGAAGAAGAAGAAGAAATCGAGAACGACGACGAAGATCCAATGGAGGAGGACGGCAATTGGCAGAGAGAGTTCCTCGAGTCGAGGCCTGTTCGCAGCGGCTTCAAGTACTTCTTTTGGGCCGTGTATGTCACAGCTAGCTTAGCTTATCTTCACGTCAAGACCAGCGGCACCGGTGTCTATCTACGAATCGGCGAAATTTTATTTGCAGCGCACGTGACGGAAAAATATCTCATTGTGGAGTTGTGGGCCGTTATCAAGGGCAAGCTCATCAAATGTCTGTTGAAGGGGGATAAACTAATGCCCATGAAGATGCCCATCCAAAACAGGAAATTGTTGACATTAAACAAGACTGGTTGCATGGTAAATGCTCTCATCTCCCCTAATTCTCACTACATATCTCTCTTTGCAGGAAGTTGCAGAGCTGCAAGTTTCATTCCGTTTCTTTGAAGTCGTAGATCTTCATTTTCAGGCCTGTAACTTCCACACCGTGTCCGGTAGTTATAGGCCTATAACTTCCACGGCGTGTCCGGTAGTTGTAGGCCTAAAACTTCCACGGCGTAACCGGAAGGCATGGGCCTAAAACTTCCACGGCGTATCCGAGAGTTATAGGCCTATAACTTCCATGGCGTATCCGAGAGTTATAGGCCTTTAACATTGACTGCGTCTTCCTCGCTTCCAGAATTTTGACTCTTTGAGGTTGCAGGCCTGAAATATTTTTTTTAAATTTGCGTTGTTCTATTGCACTTGTCGTACGCAGTGTTGCTCTAAGTTCGTGTTATAGGCCTATAAGTTTCTCTGATACACTTGGTCGACCATTGTTTTTTCTTTTGCTTCCAATGTGTTGCGCAGCCGTTCGTGGAAGGACTTTCTGAGTTCTTACGGGCAGATTTGGACGAGAAACTTCTTCCTTTAAAGTATGCAGAGGAAGCAGAAAAATCACGAACTCTAACGACGACGACGACGACGGCCACGAAGGGTGGCTCGAGAGCGAGGTCGCAGCACCCCGAAGATGTGATTTCTCCTCAAACCATTGTCGGGTCTTCCGGTAGTCTGGAAAGAGGATCGGGCACAAAGACGATTCCCGGGAAGATTCGCGGGAAGAAAACAGTCACAGAGGGTCCCCCTCGTCCGGAAGGGCAACGGGAGGGGAAGGGAAGGGAAGAGGAACTCCAGGTACCACAAGGTTTCGTGCCGAATTAGCGCATGGAAGATTTGACAAAAACTTGGGAGGAGTTGAAGAGTTTGAAGGAGAAGAAACTTTCACACGAGTCCTTTTMCCTGCCGATGAGATGTTTGAAGAGGCCACCCCTGGTGAATGGGAAAAGACCAATGGAGGTGAGAGAGCCGGACGAGGACCATGTGAAGTCCATCATGGACTGCATGTTGAAGCAACCAACTAGAGATCATCTTCCCTTCGTTGGCCTCGTCGACCCTACCCAGGCCGGGCGCAAAGAAGACGTGAGCTTGACGAAACTGAGAGCCGGCGACTACGACATTTTTGTGCTTGGTGGTGGCCACAGTCGGGAAGCGAGGGAGTAGTTAGCACGCATGAACCCCGACAACGAGGAGTACCAGTACAATGTCTGCTATGTTTACGTTGGCCTCACGATCGATGAGGCGAGGCAGGTTGCCCACAGGCATAGCCTTGCGGCGGGTTACCAAAGGGACTTGAGTTTCATCGTGAAGCTCAGGTGCTGGCGCCAAGTCTTTGAGAGCAGGGGGTGCGTCAAGTCGTAAGAAGTGAAACTCGCTTGCCTGAAAGAAGCAGGGATTCCGAACGCGGCGAAGAAATTGAACGCCCAAGACCCGTTGTTGCAGTGTGCTTTCAAACCCCAAGAGATTTCGGAGCTCATGTGTAAGATCATGAGCATGTGGCAGAAGGGCGAGGTCAAAGGCCAAAAACTGAAGCCGGTTGCGAGGAGCTTCTTGAAAGCGGACCAGGATCTGGAAACGAGCGAGTCCGAGGGTACGAAGAAAAGCCAGTGTGAGAAGAGGCTTGATAGGGCGGCTGTGAAGGAACAAGAAATGACGCTTCTTTATCCTCGGGTGCAACTGCAGGGTAACAAGGTCCCCATGGTTGCCGAGGAGATGCCAGCGCAACACTGGATAGCCATGGGTAGTATGGCTCCAGAGAACGCCATCCCTATCCTCCTTGAGGTCATTGCGAAGCAGATCTCGCTCAAGGAGATGGAGAAGAAGTTCCAGCTTATCAAGCAAATCGCCTACGTCTGCAAGGCATTCGCAGTGGGGGTGGGCGCTGCTGACTTCAAGGAGGCCGAGAAGGAGTATCCTCTCCACACGAAGAAAGAGATTTTGAAGAACTTCGTTGGTGGCATCAGAAGGGGTCAGACGAGTATCCCCGCACTGGATGGCCATATTAAACGGGCTGTGGAATGGAAGAACAAGGAGAGGAGACTGCAAGCAAAGAACGCTATTCAGGCGTTTCGTTCGAAACCTCTCGTGGAACCGTTCGTCGACTGGACGGAGGTGACACACGACAACGACTCGGCGGAAGTGAAAATTATCAATGGCGACATGCGCTTGTTGTCGAAGCTGCAGACCGAAAAACTGTCGATATCTCTGGCTATTTTCGACTTCCCTTACGGGTTCGCGCACAAGGGCCACGCATCTGATAATGAGCCATTTCCGGAGGCGGACGTTGTGGATGTTCTTCACAATCTGAAGGACGTTTCCAGTGCCCCGTTGTGGACAGTTGCGGGATTCTGTTCCATGGACATGCTTCCTTCCATCCGCTCCGCGTTCCGGGAGGTTTGCAATGTAGGGCAGGAGCTTTTGACGTGGTGAAAGCCTAATGTGACGAATCCGGGTGGGCCCCGGCTTGTGAGTGCGACCGAATTCTGCATGCTGGGCTATTACAGTGAGAGTGGGCAGCGCGAGATGGCGCATTACAATTTTGACCCCATTGATATGCGCCACAATTTCCAGCTCTTCAATGCTGTGACGCAGAAGTACCAGCACCCTGGTGGCGGTGTTCTCTGCCCGTACCAGAAGCCGTATACTTTGTACTCCTGGCTTGTGAACAAATTCTCTCCCGAAGGGGCCTGCGTTCTGGATGGTTTCTCCGGTTCCGGCACAGGGGCCATAGCATGCGTCAAGGCAAATCGGAATTGCCTTGTGGTGGAGATAAACACCAAGTGCGCTAAGGGGATCGCCACGAGCCTTCTGACAGACATCGGCGGCACACTTGCGTGCGAAATGCCAAAGCGGAAAGAAAAGGTCGCACAAGGCAGCCCGACCTCTAAGTTGTCTGGGGATACGAAGTCTGCCGGAAATGAACTCGTGCCCAATGAAAACACGTGCACTACTGCTGGAGTGGCGGCCAGTGCTGAGGTTGTCGTTGTCAGGCCGTCAGGTCCGAGTTTGCCCACTGTCGAGGCTGCTGCCGGGCCGTCCGGTGTGGAGTGAACTGTTACCGGTGCTGAGCCCGCTTTCGCTGTGCCTCTTCCCGGTGAGGGTAGACCCGTGCCTGCTTCTGTGTCTGTTCCCAGCGTTGTTCCTGAAGCTAGACCAGAGGCTGAGACGCAACCTGCGCCCGGGCCTGTTCCCGCTGCTGCAAATGCTCAGCAGAGTGTCTTGATCCTCGCCATGAGCCAGGAATCGAGCAGGACCACGGTTGGCGGCAGGAAGGGGCGCAAACGAAAGGCAGGCGGTGAAGAGGTGTCGAGTCCGCAGGGTGGGGTAGCGATTGGCCTCAAGGCCAATACTCGCTCATGGACTGCGAAGTGACTGAGGCCACACTGTATCGTTTGGATATAGGCCTATATGTCATGTGTGGACACGCGCTTTACATATAGGCCTATATTGCATGTGTGGCCTCAAGTCGCTTTCATGTTGTGTCGACTCTCCCGTCTTGGTCGCGTCTTCTCCTTCCGCTTGTTCTTTTCACCATGAGTGGCCTCAAACCACGGATGGCACGCGACAATGCCAAAAGGTCCAGGAGTTGCCGTTTGTTGGCGACGAATAATGATTTGCTTGGTACATTCCGGTCAAAGAGCCGAAGCAGGATCAACAACGATCCATATAGCAAGGATTGCGCCTCTCGCAATTGGTGCGAGAGGAGAAACCAAGCTTTATTCGTTCACGAGTCTCCTGTGGTTTGTGGTCTAGGAGTTGCCATTTGTTGATATCGAATAATGATTTGCTTGGTGCGTTCCGGTCAAAGAGCCGAAGCAGGATCGACAACGGTCCATGTAGCAAGGATTGCGCCTCTCGCAATTGGTTGGAGAAGAGAAACCAAGCCTTATTCGTACACGAGCCTCCCCTGGTGTGTGCCGCTTTATCTGCATCCCTCCCGGGATTGATCGCCGCCCCTGCGTCGTCGGAATGTGTGCTGCTTTGCATGGATACCTCTCCTAGGATTGGTCGTCGTCCCTTCGTGGTTGGAGCTATGTGGTTTGGCACATGGTTTCGTTTTCTGCAGAATTGTTATTGTGTAGAGTAGGCTAGCTTTCTGTTTGTTAGGTCGTGGAAGTGGGAACCAGGTGCACTCGGTTCGTGGTTCGGACCGCAATAGGTCGTCAATTTTGAGATTGCCATCATTACTGGGAACCATGTGTTCCGCTGTGTATTGTAGTCATTTAGAGGAACGAGGGCTCAAGTGTGGTAGTTTAGGGGGCAGCGGGTGCTTTAGTTTGCCTCTCCCAGGATTGGTCGTCGTCCCTTCGTCGTTGGAGCTGTGTGGTTTGGCACATGGCTTCGTTTTTTGCAGAGTTGTTGTTGCGTAGAGTAGGCTAGCTCTTTCCCTTTTAGGTCGTGGAAGTGGGAACCAGGCGCACTCGGTTCGTGGGTCAGACCGCAATAGGTCGACAATTTTGAGAGTGTCATCATTACTGGGACCCATGTGTTCCATTGTACTAGGAACCATGTGTTCCATTGTACTGGGAACCATGTGTTCCGTTCACAATTTTGAGAGTGTCATCATTACTGGGAACGAGTCCTACGGAGGTCCACCCAGGGGCACTCGCCGCAGGTGTGGTAGTTTTCGGTGCATTGTGGTACTTTAGTGGATCATTTCTTTTGTCGGATTTGGTTCAGTTCTTTTGTCGGACTTTTCTCTTTTTCTAAAGGTTAATTTTGATAACCCTCTATTTTTAATTCTAAAGGTTGTTTCTGATAACCCTCTCATTTTCATTCGTGAGTTCTTGTTCACTTACCTTTGTGTGGACGACCACTCTCTCTCTCTCTCTCTCTCTCTCTCTCTCTCTCTCTCTCTCTCTCTCTCTCTCGTAAAAGGTGTCTCAGGCTAACAAAACAGTGTTATAGGTCTTTAATCACTAAAGGCCTTTAATCACTTTCGTCTGTGCCAATCGAGTTTACAGACAAACACATGCACACAAGGACACAGTTAGACACACACAGACAGACACAACCACACACACACAACCACACACACACAACCAAACACACACAGACACAGACGCACACAACCACACACACAAGAACAGACAGACACACGCACACACAGGTACACATACAACTGTGCACACATAGACAGCCACACACACAAACACAGACACACAGAAACATATAAAGATAGAGGTCTGAAAGTGGTCCCAAAACACCTTTGCTTTCCTGCCACAAACACACAGAGGCACACACATAGACACGAACAACCACGCGCACACAGACACAGATAAACATATTCGGGGGTTTTTCGATCGCTCAAACATGTTCTGGGACATATTCTCTCAAACACGAGCGAACATATTGTTTTCTACTGTTTTTTTGTTTTCTGTTTAATTACTTCTGAACTGGTGTACCTCCCTGGCAAAAGTTGATTGTATTCTTACTTTGCTAAGGGTATTTTTGTTAACTCAAAATTGATTTACAGTCCTGGAATATTGATTTACAGACTTGAAGTGTCGAAAAATTTCCCTAGAACTATTAGAGGCCTTTAATCACTGTCGCCTGCGCCAGTCGTGTTGTACACAGACACACACACACAAGGACACAGTTAGACATACGCACAGACACACGCACAAAAGGACACAGTTACACACACAAACACATTCAACGACACACGCACACAGACACATACGGACACACTGACACAGTCCGTGTCTGCGTTTGTATGTTTTCATGAGCATGTGTTTCTGTGTGTTTGTGTCTTTTTCCGTGTGTGTGTCTTTGAGTGTGTACACTGGCACAGATTAACACAAGCACACACACATAAAGTAACATTCCCCAAAACTGTTATAGGCCTATAATCACTTTCGTCTGTGCCAGTCGAGTTTACACACATACACACGCACAGAAGGACACAGTTAGATACTGACACAGACAGACACAACCACACACAGACAACCAAACACACAGGCACAGACGCACACAACCACAAACAGATACACACACACACAAGGACAAAGTTACACACACAGACACATTCAACGACACACGCACACAGACACAAACGGACACACTGACACAGTCTGTGTCTGTGTTTGTATGTTTTTTGTGTACCACACACGAACACATACTCGGCCCGTGTCAGTGTTTTCATGAGCATGTGTTTCTGTGTGTTTGTGTCTTTTTCCGTGTGTTTTTCTTTGAGTGTGTACACTGGCACAGACTAACACAAGCACACACACACAAAGTAACATTCCCCAGAACTGTTATAGGCCTATAATCACTTTCGTCTGTGCTAGTCGAGTTTACATACAGACACATGCACAGAAGGACACAGTTAGACACTAGCATAGACAGACACAACCACACACAGACAACCAAACACACAGGCACAGACGCACACAACCACAAACAGATACACACACACACACACACACGCACGTACACAGATACACACACACACACAGATACACACACACACACACACGCACACAGATACACACACACACACACACACACAGAAACACACAAACACAGACACACACACACACACGCACACAAAGGTACACATACACACAGACAGACATACACAACCGCGCACACACAGACAGCCGCACACACAAACACAGACACACAGACAAACACATAAAGACAGAGGCCTGAAAGTGGTCCCAAAAGTGTTTAAGGCCTGCGTGCACCTTTGCCTTACCCGCCACACACACACAGAGGCACACACACAGACACAAACAACCACGCGCACACAGACACAGACGCACACACAGACAGACGAATTTAATCACTTTTGCCTGTGCCAGTCGTGTTTACACATAGACAGACGCATGCAGTCAGACACATACATACACAGACACACACACAGACACACGCGTACATTGGCACAGACACACGCAAACACACACAACCAAAGTCACAGACACACAACCACACATCGAAAAGTGTTCCCGAAACTATTAAGGGCCAAGAAACACCTTTGTCCGAGGTTGCCTACGATCATTGTGTTGATTGGTTGGTTGGTTGGTTGGTTGATTGATTGATTGATCCACGCATATGCACACACACACACACACGCATCTGCACACACGCACACACTTGATTGGTTGATTGATTGGTTGGTTGGTTGCATGCCTGCAATCAATCAACCAACCAAGCACACACTTGGACAGAAGCTGCTCAGGTAAGCTATTCGAATTTGGAAAAAGGATAAGAGTTCCTCTCTGCAGGCCTGTGCCTGTAAGCTAAGCTGGCTGATACTGTCAGAAACCCCGGGTTGAATTGTGAGGTACTTGCCCTCGATCTTCTCTTGGGAACGATTTGAATGCTTTGAGTTTAAAAAAATCAAAAAAAAAAAACTACAGGGAGTGTGTGTCYGTGTTTGTGTGAGACACACACACACACACACAACTAGAGAGAGAGAGAGAGAGAGAGAGAGAGAGAGAGAGAGATTTGACTCACATGCATTCAATCCACGCACAT